TGTCAGCTCTACTCACCGAGCCGCCGGGGAGGCCGGAGCAGGGGAGCGAGCGGTGGGAGCAGCCGCCGAGCTCTGCCGGAGAGGAGCGGGAGGGGGGGGGAGAGAAAAATTAATCATCCAAGAGGCTGAGTCTCTGCGGGAAGCGAGGGAGTCCAGCTCCCGGCTGCGCCGAGCCAATAACCGCCGGACAGACGGCGCGGTGAGACAGGGTCCTAGCGTCCCGCGACCACGGCCACGGCCACAGCCACGGCGGCCAGGCCACCGGGCAACCACGCATGCATCCAGACGGGCAGGCATCCAGTCGTGCATGCATCCAGATGGGCACGCATCCAGTCGTGCATGCATCCAGTCGTGTACGCGCCCAGCCGCGCCTGCGTTATTCGGCTGTGCCCGCATCCCGCCACGCGCACGTTCGAGCCTTGCACAGGGGCTGTGCACGCAGCTGGATGTGCGCGCAGCTGGATGCGCACGCAGCTGGATGTGCGCGCCATCAGCCCTGCATCTCCCTTCAGGGCCACCCAGCCCAGGGAGGGACGAGGGGCAGCAGGTGAGGGCCAGGCTGGCACGGGTGGGCAGGGGCCGGGGTACCTGGCAGGGATGCCGGCGCGTCTCCATGGCCCTCATGTCCTTGTCCAGCTCCTCGCTGAGCTGCTCCAGCTCCCGCTCCAGCAGCACCTGCGTGGGCAGGACGAGGCCGGCACTGCCCGCACCCCACATCCCAGCGGCACGGGCACCAGGACCCCCGCTGCCACCCCCAGCCCCCCACCTACCATCGGCAGCTTACCTCAATGGGCTGAGCCCGCGCCGGTGGCACCGCGGCGGGGGGCTGGAAAGGGCAAGGGGCCGGTTAGGTGTGCGCACACCGCGGTGCCCACCGGCATCCCTCTGTGCCGGGGCTGAGCGGGGACCGGAGCTGCCGGACCTTCCTACCTGGTGCGGCTGCTCCAGCAGTGAGGATTTCCCCGGTTCGTAGTCAAAAATGCTGCCAGGCTCTGCGGTGGCACCGGTGGCACCCCAGCTGGTCCTGTGGGGAGCCAGGAGGAGCTCAGCCCCCTGCAGCCCCCCACCCCGTGGGCACCCACCGGGGTCAGGTCCCCAGGCACCATTTAAATGCCGCCCTGTGCTGCGCTCACCAGTCCAGCCCATTGGGCATACTGGGGGGCTCAGCTGGCAACGGCCCTTTCCTCTGCGGCTCTTGGGGGGATGAAGGCACCGTGGTGGGCGAGGGGCCGAGCTTACCCGTGGGGCGGTGATGCGCATCCCAGTCCGGCTCTGCGGGGATGGAGGAGAAGGTGAGCGGGTGCCGTGCCGTGCCGTGCCGCGCCGCGGTACCGGGACTCACCTGGCAGCTTGCGGTGGATCTGCCGGAACATGCTGCGGTACCAGTCACGGGGCCGGTCGACGCTCTGCGGGGACGTGGCAGGGTGGTGAGGGGCTCGCGGGGAAGGGGGAAACCCCAGCCCCGTGCTCCTGACTCACCGAACGCGAGGCGATGGGCATCCCCGTCTCATCCACTGGCCCGATGCCGTCGTACTTCACCCAGCGCCTCTCCCGCCGCTTGTTGTCCTTGGTCCAGGTGGCCGACCAGCCCGGTGGCCGGGGACAGGCGGGGGCAGCCCCGGGGCCGGCCACGGAGCTGGCGGGTGCCGGGGTGCTGGGTGCCTTCGCCTCCTTGGCCGGCCAGGTCTGGTACCACTCGCTCGCTGGGGATGAGGTGGGCGAGGGTGAGCCCTTGCCCTCTGCTGAGCATCACTTGGGGGGGCCCGTAGAGACGTCCCCAGGGATGCTCGGGACAGGTACCTGAGCTCCTGGGGGCCGCCTGGCCATGCTCGGCCATGCCACGGGTCTCCAGGTCGTGGAAGTCGAAATTCAGCGTGTTGGAGCCACGGTGGCGGATGACGGGCACCTGCGGCACAAGGAGGGGGCTGGCACGGGGGCAACGCGGCGGTGGCAGAAGGGATGGAGGCAGACCAGCTCCCCAGATCCCCCGGGCATGTAGCAGCCCCTGGCCCCACTCACCCGCGTTGCTGTGTGCTGCAGGGGCACCCACACTGCTGGGTGGAAGGGGGGGACGTCCTCCAAGCCCAGAGCCTGGCCGGCATCGGGGGGCAGGAGCTGGCCCGCCATGGCCGTGGGGTGCCGGGACGGTGCCCTGGGGGTGCCCGTGCCCTGTTGGGGAAAGCGGCTGCGCTCACGGCAGATCCCATCCCTGCCTGCTGGATGCTCCCCTCCAGCGGCTCCATCTCACCGGGCTTTGCCGGAAAGCTGGGGGCTCCGGGTGAACCCCATCCCAGCCGCATCCCTACCACCAGAGACCGTCCCCTGTTATTCAGAGGTGCAGGGGACACCACGGCGGGGTGACAACCACCGCGGCACCATCCCCAGCTTGGGGACCCTCACGGTGCCAGGGGAAGCGGCTGTTCCCGGCCAGAAACAGCCCTGGCACGGCTCCCCCATGTGTTTTCCATGCGGCCTCAACCCCGCCATGGTCAGATCCGGACCACCCAGCCCCTCTTCCCACCCCAGCTTTGCACCACAGATGGATCCAGCCCCCCTGGGCTCTCTGGGGAGAAAACACCCCGGGGTGGGACGGGGCGATAGCCGAACCGCCTTGCCCATTGTCCCGGCATCCCTACATGGCATGGTGGGATGCAGCCGGCGCCGGTGCCCTCCCGCCCGGGCACGTGGCGGCAGCGGAGTCAGGCAGTGCCGCACTGGGAGAGCTGCCAGGGCCGAGCCTCCCCGGGGCTGAGAACACGAAAAGGCAGAAATATTTCCCCGCCCTGCAGCGCAAACAGGGAAGGGAGAGGGGAAGGAGGGAAGAGGCGACGGGAACGTGCGGCCAAGCCCGGCACCACCCCGCCGGGAGGGCGATGTGCCGTGACTCACCGCTGCACCGCGGTGCCAGGGCCGCAGCACGAAGTGGGGGGCGGCTGGGGGGGGACAGGACCCCCGTAACGGCTCCCAACACCGTTGCTGCATCGGCATGGGATGGCTCCAGGGGCTGAGAGCAGCCCCGGGAACTTTTGGGGGGACACCCGTGTCCTCGTTCATCCCCCAGCATCTCCATCCCCACCGGGGCACTGGCATCGCCCGTGGGACTCGCAGATGCCACGGGGGACGCATGCTGAGCCCGACGCCGCACAGACCCCTCCTCAAACAGGGCAACTGGTGCTGCTGGGGGGGCCGCTAGCCTGGCACAGTGCCCTGTGTGCCACCCTCGCAGGGCTGGGGACCCCCCCCCAGCTCCTCACTCCCGACACCCACCAGAGGCTCTGCAGCCTGCAAGGCTGTAATTAATAGTTATCACCACCGTGGGGAAACAGGCCCTGGGAACGACTTGCCCCAGGGCACAGAAAGTGGGGTGCACACCCCTTCCCTCCCTCCCCAGGGCACCCCAACCACTGCCACTCCATTCCCAGCAGCACAGTGCCCTCCCGCAGCCCCGTCCTGCTCCCACGGACTGTCCCCCAAAGCCTGGCTCCCCGTCGGTCACCCCCTCCTCGCCAGCCCCCGAGCCAGCTCTTACCTCCTGGGTGCTGCCAACCGGGGGTCCCCGGGCAGCGCTGGCCTCGGGAGGGCCGGGGGCTTGGGGAGCCCCGCGGCAAACGGGACGGAGCTGCGAGCGGCGGCAGGGAAGAAAAATGCGCGGCGTAAATTTTGCCGGGGGAAAAGAGAGGGGTGGCCTCAACGCATCATGGGTGGCCGGTACCGAAAGACCCCCGGCAGCATCCCCCCGGCCGGGTCAGCAGCCGCCGTCCTCCCCGGCAGTGGGTACCCGTGTGCCCTGGCCCCCCCCTGGGGTGCACTCGCCACCCCCCCCCAAGCGCTCCCCGCTCTGGAGCGGGGCCGGCCCATTCAGAGTTTCCAGTGACATTTCCAGGGACGGGATCCAGGGAGACGAGCCAAGAGGCTGAACTCATCCCACGCCCCGCGCACGCGTTCCCGCGCACCCGGCCCCCGCTTACGAAATGGGGTGAGCCTGGCGTCGCCGGCCCCCCCCCTGCGCTGGCAGCCACCCCCTGCTGCGATGGAGCCGGGGGCTTAGAGAGGTTTTTGGGAGAGGATGAGGAGGGAAGTCCCAGTGGAGGTGGGGAGCAGAGCTCCATGTTCCCATAGCCCCCCCGAGCCACAGCATGGGGGGGGCACGGTGAAAGCAGAGTCCTCGTCCTCGCTGCCGCCTGCTTTCCCACGGGCGACCCTCCATCCCCTCCATCCCCCAGGGGTCTGGGCATTGGGGACCCCCCATTTAACACCTCCGTGCCCTGCGGGTGCCCAGTAAGCCCACCTCATCCCCTCCGGCAGCGCCCATGTCCCAGCCTCCACCGCTTCCTTCTCGCCGCTCCCCGAAACTGCTGACAGCCCCGAAACGGGGCAGCCCTGGCCCTTCCTCTATCCCACGCGCTCCCACGTGAGCTCAGGCCTCTGCCCCCCACGGGAACTCGGGCGGGAGGATGGTGGCTTTGCTGCCAACCACCAGCCATCCCTCCGTCCCCACCCAGGCAACCCGTCCCTTGCCAGAAGGTGCTGGGGACGATGCTGGGGACATGGCACAGGAGCCCTGCCTGGCCCCAGTGCTGCACCCAGGGGACAAATGGGACAGAAGCGGGTGCGCTCCCGGCTGCCACAGCCCTGGAGGACGCAGCTCCCATCCAAGGGCTGGGACGGCTCCTCCCGTGGACTGGTGCAAGCCGGAGACACGGCAGGGAGGAAGCAGGTCGGGGACGGGAGCTGGTCCTGCCAAGGAAACTCGGGGAGACAAGAGCGGAGAGGACAGCAGGGCCTGCGGTGCAAGCACGGGCACCCAGGGAAAGGGTTAAACCCTGCGAGGGGGACCCAGACCCCATCCCTGCCCGCCAAAGGGGCGACGGTCCCCTCCAGCCCACTGTGTGCCCGAATGACGTCTCCGGAGGTCACAGCTCCCGATGGCAACGTTTTCCTGGGGGCAGCCGGATCCCGGCCACCCCACGCTGCTGCAGCCCACCCTGGGGGTCCAGCCCCCCCCCCCTTCCAAGCACGGACCGGACTCACCTCCACAACCCCATGCACCGTCCCCTTGCCGGCCAAACAGCCACCAGCGCCTGCCCTGCCTCCCAGCTCCCAGCACCAGCCTCCGCTGGCGGATAAATATTTAACACGCAGCCTGGGACAGGATTAACAAAGGGCGAGTGTTTCCTGTTTGCTCAGCGCGGCGATGCCCGTCGGGAGCGTGCGGCCAGGCCGAGAGATGCTCTCTTGGTCAGGGCTGTGGTGGGCAGCTGTCGGAATCCCTCGGTGCCGAGACCGGTGCCGTGCCCTGTCCACGCCGAGGGTCGGGGAACCCGGGACTGGGCAGCAATACTGGGTGCAAGGCATGTTGCTGGCAGCTCCCCCCCGCTTTTGACGGAAACACCCAGGAAAGGGGTGGGAAAGCCGGAGCATCCCTTCCCCGGTCGCACCCTGACCGCTTCCAGCAGCTGGGAACTGGGGATGGCTGTTCCACCGTGGCCACACCGGGTTTTGGGAGCGGCGGTGAGGAGCAGGAGATGGCACACGGATTGCACGTGGTGAGCAAAACTCGACGGCGAGATGCTGACCCAAGCAGCTCTGACTGCAGGGGAGAAGCCAGATGTGGCAGCCACAGCTGGGAGCCAGGTCACCCCCCCCCGGTTCCCCAGCCAGGCAGGGAGCAGGCAATGCCGGAGCCAGGACCACTGCCAGAGCCACCTCCTGCTCAGAGGGCACAGGTTGGGGATTCCCATGCAGGAACTGGGGGAACTGGGCCAGTGTCGGAGCTGTAACCCGGCAGGATGGATCCTGGCCAGCACGAACACCAGGGCTCCTCACCGAAGCGCTGCAAGCCCACGACATGGAGGGGGTACCACGCAAAAAGGGCGAGGAAGGAGCCGGGGAGGGGCGAAACAAGAGGTGGCAAATACCCTCCTCTTCCTCCTGGCACCCAGGAAGGCAGCGGGAGGAGGGTTATTGACTCAGCCAGCGGCTGGAAGGATGGAGAGGTAAGGAGAGGGAGCGGAGAGCTCTCCAACAAAAGCGCCCGGGAGCGACTTCACAAGTGCCGACGTGCCGGGGAGGTTGGGAGACGCCATCTCGGCGCTGCCCTGGCCCCGGAGAGGGGCCCTGAGCGAGGCAGCAGCTGTAAAACAGACCCTAAAACCTTTCTCCCTTCCTTCCCGAAAGCCAGGCAGCATCCGTGGGGCTCCTTGCCATGCCCTCCACCCCGGGAGCCAGGCACCCCAGTGTACCCCAAAATAAACCATAGCGGAGCCGAGTGACTGTGTCAATTTTTAACTTTTTTTTTTTTTTTTTTCTCCTTAAAGATGACTTCCAATTTACATTAAGACAGTTCTAACAAATTCATTCCTTGTTCACAAAAAAAAAAGAAATTATATTAAATAATTTCTGCCAATAAATAACATTTTCACCATTTTTTTTCTCCTTTAAACATAACTAAAAAAAAAAAAAGCAAAAAAAAAAAAAAAAGGAGGCAGTCTCCAGGCAACGGGCGTATGATCCTTCAGCATCGAGAACCCTAAAATCACCATCACTGCACCCAGCACGTGTCCCGTGGGGCTTCAGGTCCTTCCTGGCAGAGGCCGGTGGGCCTCCACATATCCCTGCCACCGCACCTAGCTAGGTCAGGTCTGTGCCCGAGTGCCGCGACAGGCTCCCAGGCTGGCACGGGCAGCAAGAGGTTCTCCCAACGCCAAAAAAAAAAAAAATTAAAAAAAGAAATAAAAAAAAAAAAAAAAGAAGCTTGAACTCAACCCACCACCCGACCCATTGCTGACTCCCCTCCTTGTTACATGCACCTTGCTATAACATGCAAAAAAACCCAGGCTGCGAGGCCAGCCTGCGGAGGAGGCGGCTGGGCTTTCCCCGGGGCCGGTCATGCTCCTTGGCTTGCATTCCCGGAGTCCTGTTTGCCAAACTCCAGGTGGCAGCCGGGGCGGGAAAGGGACAGGTGGGAGCTCTGAGATGAAGGGTCTTGAGACGTGCATAGCTCCGAGGCGCTGGCTTTGCAAGGGGGGGTGGTAGAGGAGGAAGGGGGAAAAAAATCTGCGTATTTCTGGCATTTTTTTTGTTTTGCCGTGGTGGGGATTGGGGCAGGGCGCTCTGCCGGGATGAGC